ACCTCATCTCGCGTCTGTACTGCTTGCCCCTAAGGGAGACCCGGATGCACTAGACATCCCGACTCCGCGTTCTTACGCGGAGGCCGTAGAGGGCCCCTACTCCTCTCAGTGGCAGGCAGCCATGGATGCAGAGATGGCTTCCTGGAAGTCCACAGGCACCTACGTTGACGCGGTTCCCCCTCCTGGGGCGAACATCGTCAGTGGCATGTGGATCTTCAGGGTGAAGCGGCCGCCGGGCTCTCCACCTGTCTTCAAGGCACGGTACGTTGCTCGTGGCTTCAGTCAGCGGCAGGGAGTTGACTACTTTCAGACCTTCTCTCCCACCCCGAAGATGACTACTCTTCGGGTGCTGCTGCACATAGCCGCTCAGCGCGACTACGAGCTTCACTCTCTCGACATCAGCACTGCGTTCTTGCAGGGTAGCCTGCACGAGGAGATCTGGCTTCGCCGTCCACCTGGCTTCACTGGGACTTTCCCTCCTGGCACCCAGTGGAGCCTCCGACGGCCAGTCTACGGTCTCCGCCAGGCACCGCGTGAGTGGCACGACACACTGAGGACTACGCTTGCGGCTCTTGGGTTTGCTCCTTCTACTGCTGACCCGTCGCTGTTTCTTCGCACCGACACTTCCCTGCCGCCGTTCTACATCCTCGTGTACGTCGACGACTTGGTCTTTGCCACAGCGGACACTGCTGGACTCGCCTACGTGAAGTCCGAGCTGCTGAAGAGACACACGTGCACAGACCTGGGTGAACTGCGCAGCTACCTTGGCTTGCAGATCACTCGGGACAGAGCACGCCGCACCATTACCTTGACTCAGTCACACATGGTGCAGCAGGTCCTTCAGCGCTTCGGCTTCACGTACTCCTCGCCTCAGGCCACTCCTCTGCCTACTCGCCACTCACTCTCAGCTCTGCCTTCGGATGAGTCCGTAGAGTCGAGTGGTCCGTATGCAGAGCTTGTTGGCTGCCTCATGTACCTGATGACCTGCACACGACCTGACCTTGCATACCCTCTGAGCATTCTTGCACGCTATGTTGCTCCTGGGAGACACAGACCGGAGCACATGGCTGTAGCGAAGAGGGTATTGCGCTACCTGTGCAGTACGTCAGGCATGGGGCTAGTGCTTGGAGGGCGGAGTCCAGTGGTCCTTACCGGCCACGCGGACGCTTCTTGGGCTGACGACCAGGCTACGCAGCGGTCGTCACAGGGTTACACCTTCAGCCTTGGTTCCGGCTCTGTCTCGTGGCGGTCTACTCGTTCGTCTTCGGTTCTCGGCTCCAGTTGTGAGGCTGAGATCTACGCCGGAGCCATGGCTGCACAGGAGCTTCGCTGGCTCACCTACCTGCTGACTAACCTTGGAGAGCCGCCTCGTTCTCCTCCAGTGCTGTACGTAGACAACAAGGCTATGCTGGCCTTGTGTCGAGAGCAGCGCTTGGAGCACAGAACGAAGCACATTGCTCTCCGCTACTTCCTTGCTCGTGAGTTGCAGCAGCGTGGTCAGTTGCGACTTGCGTACGTGGCCTCTGAGGCCAACACTGCTGATGTGTTCACCAAGGCACTTGCGCCTTGTGACCATCAGCGCTCCTGCACCCAGCTGGGTCTTGTGCCTGTCTTGCCTCACTTGCTCTCCTCTTGACTTTACTTGTACTGTGACATATATATATACCTGCTCTTGCTTGTCTAGTTTTATATATATGTCTGTACTCTTGCTTGTGAACTGGGCTTTGGCCTTGCTCTTGTGCTCGGACTGTGTGGTGACTTTGTGATCCACCCTGAGCTTTGCTTTGTCTTGCTTGACTGGTCTTGTGACCCCTTGTTCTCCCCCACTTTGCCTATGGGGGTGTGTCAGAACATATCTATAGCTTATACTGCTGTGTAGGCTGTAGTGGGGTATCCCATAGGGGGTACAACCCAGTTAGGGTTTCATATTTGTACTGCTTTCATTCATAGTTCATTCATTCCTGCTTACTCATTTTCACACTACGTCTGCACTCTGATAGAGGTGGCGAGTTTTCCTCTGACCTCCTGGCAGCCTACTGTGCGGAGCACGGCATCCGCCAGACGTTCACTTTCCCGGCCTCTCCGCAGCAAAATGGGGTTGCTGAGCGCCGCATTGGTCTTGTCATGGACGTCGCTCGTACCTCCATGATCCATGCGGCTGCCCCCCATTTCCTGTGGCCGTTTGCAGTGTAGTACGCTGCGCATCAGCTCAACCTCTGGCCCGTGTCTCCGTTCTGGAGACCTCGCCTACCCTGCGTTGGACGAGGGAGGTTGGCGACGCGTCGGTGTTCCGAGTCTGGGGATGTCGAGCCTTTGTCCGCGACATGTCCGCGGACAAACTCTCCTCCCGTGCGGTTCCTTGTGTCTTCCTCGTCTTTGTCCTTGACGCGCCTTGCTGGCAGTTTTACCACCCCACCTCGCGCCGTGTCTTCGCCTCTCAGGACGTCACCTTTGACAAGTCGGTACCCTTTTACCGTCTCTTCCCCTACCGCACTGCCCCGCTCCCCCCCCGCGCCGCTCTTCCTTACCCCAGGTGTCCAGTCGGTAGACCCCTTCCCTCCCCAGGGTGCTGCTCCCTCAGGTGTTTCCCATGTAGACCCGGTCGAGCCTGTCGAGGTAGCTGTTGACTCTGGTCCTGTGCGAGGTACTGAGTGTGCTGAGCCTGGTGGTGCTGGGTCTGGGGGCAGTGGGATTGAGGGTGCTCAGCCTCGGGGTGCAGAGACTGGGGGTGCTGAGCATGGGGGTGCTGAGACTTTGGGTGCTGAGAATGGGGTTGTTGAGCGTGGTGGCGCTCCCTCTTCACAACAGCTATGTGAGTGTTACTCTCAGCGCTGCAGCCTCCGTCGTGGCGCTGCTGGAGCTGGGGTGTCTGTTGGAGTCGGGGCTGATGGCCTCGCAGGTGCTTGCCGTAGCCAGAGCCTCCCTCCCCTCAGTGGCTACGTAAGTGATACGCTCAGCGCTGCAGCCTCAGGAGTGGAGCTCCTAGAATTGAGGTACCGCTAGCTGAAGGCCCTGCTGCTGGAGGTGCTGCTGGTGCTACAGGAGGTCTTGAAGGTATTGCTGGTACTGCTGGAGGTCCTAGAGCGGCTGAAAGTGCTGCTTGTGCTTCTGGAGGTTCTGGAGCTGCAGGAGGTACTGCCGGTGCTGGTGGAGACCCTGGAGCTGTTGGAGGTGCTGCTGGTGCTGGTTCGCCTGGAGGTTCTGGTGCTGTCTCTGCTGCTTCAAGGGGCGCTTCACGGCCAGAGCCGTACTTCGTTCCGCTCCTTCAGCAGGTTCTTGGTCAGCAGCCTCCTCCTAGTCCTCCTCCCTCCTTAGAGTGTCCTCCGCCTGTCCAGTCGCAGTTCCAGCCGCCACCTGCCTCGCCACTTCCTCGTCCTTCTCCCTACAATGGTCCGACAGGCAGTCTTACAGAGCGTCGTGCGCCTGTGTCGCGTCGTGTGTCACCTGTTCGGGCTGCTCGCACTGGTCGACGTGGTCCGCGTGAGCGCCCTCCACATATGCCTGGCACACACTATATGACTCTGCGTCCTTCCACTACTCCGCAACGTGTCCCTCTGCCGTCTCCTCCTGAGTCTGACTCTCTTCGTGCTGCCAGTCCTACGGTCACGCGTCTCCTGACCACTGCTGTCACGGACACTTCCTTTGAGTCTGCTGCTGCGTGTTCCCTAGTTGCTGAGCTTGTCGAATTTGCTGCTCACTATCGTCTAAACTACGCTGCCAGTCTTGTTGCTGAGTCTGAGTCTGTCTGTCCTCTGTCCGTCGGGGGTGAGTGTGCTCTAGGCACGGATGTCCTTGAGGACAGAGAGGAGGACCTTGAGTGTCTTGCAGCCGAAGATGACCACTCTTTGGGTGCTACTGCACGTTGTTGATCAGCGTGACTACGAGCTTCACTCTCTTGACTTCAGCACAGCTTTCTTGCAGGGCACCCTGCACAAGGAGATCTGGCTGCGCCGCCCTCCTGGCTTCACTGGGTCGTTTCCTCCTGGTACCCACAGGAGCCTCCAACGGCCAGTCTACGGTCTCCGCCAGGCGCCACGTAATTGGCACGATACACTGAGGACTACTCTTGCGGCACTTGGGTTCGCGCCCTCTACTGCTGACCTGTCGCTGTTTCTGCGCACTAACACTTCACTGCCGTCGTTCTACATCCTCGTGTACGTCGACGACTTGGTCTTTGCCACTGCTGACACTGATTCTCTCGCCCACATGAAGTTGGAGCTGCAGAAGAGACACACGTGCACAGACCTGGGTGAACTGCGCAGCTACCTTGGCTTGCAGGTCACCCGGGACAGAGCATGCCGCACCATCACGCTAACTCAGTCACACATGGTGCAGCAGGTCCTTCAGCGCTTCGGCTTCACCTGGTCCTTGGCACAGGCCACTCCTCTGGCTATAGGTCACTCGCTCTCAGCTCTGCCTTCGAATGAGTCCGTAGAGCCGAGTGGTCCTTACCTTGAGCTAGTTGGTTGCCTCATGTACCTGATGACTTGCACTCGTCTTGACCTAGCATACCCTCTTGGCCTTCTGTGTGAGAATTGAAACGAGAATGAATGAACTATGTAACAGTTGGGTACAAGTACTAACCCTAATTGGGTTGTACTCCTTATGGGCTACCCCATTACAGCCTACACAGATGTATAAGCTATATGTTCTTACACACCCTCATAGGCAAAGTGGGGAAGAACAAGTGGTCACAAGACCAGTCAAGCAAAGCAAAGCAAGCTCAGGGTAGATCATAAAGTCACCACACAGTCCAAGCACAAGAGCAAGGCCACAAAGCCAGTTCACATGCAAGATCATATATATATAGGTAAACAAGCAAGTGCAGGTATAGAAAGATCACAGTACAAGAAAGGTCAAGAAGTGAGCAAGTGAGGCCAAGTAGGCACAAGACCTAGCATCGTACAGAAGCGCTGATGATCAGAAGGCGGAAGTGCCTTGGTAAAGATATCAAAAGTGTTGGCCTCAGAGGCCACGTAAGCAAGGCGCAGCTGACCACGCTACTGCAGCTCATGAGCAACGAAGTAGCGAAGAGCAATGTGCTTCGTTCTATGTAGACGACACGAGCAGAGAGAAGACTCAGGACCAGACCTGGACGCTATTGCAAGCACCTGACTTGACGCAGCTACCTGGTCAGACTCAGCAGCCGGAGGAGACTCAGTAGTAAGGGTGTACAGGCTCGACCCTGGCCGACGGGTGAACGTGGCCAAGTGTCTGCCTGTCCGAGCACACGTGCAGTGGGTCACTCGCTGACTCGCAGGAGTGAACTGGTCAACCCCCCTATACTGTAGGTCCGCTCCAGTCACCGAGTTCGTAGAGAACGAGGGGAGGTAGAGACCAGACAGGGTGCGAGAGGGGGCTGCTAGGCACGGTAAGATAGTGGAGAAGCTAGCAAGGACAGGACCCTCAGAGGGGTCCGCCAGGGAGACTGCAACCGGCCGACTAAGCGGCGTAAGAGTGGTGCGGTCTCGAAAGAAGGAGCGGGACGCACCCGAGTCAAGGGTGAAGGTGTGTAAGGCCTGAGCCGACGTAGTACCTAAGAGAGCAGACTCATCAGCACCTAGAGCAGCAGACGCACTAGCACCTAGAGCAGCAGCCTCAATGCTCGGGTCAGGCGGTACACACAGGAAACAGTCACCCTCAACACTAGTAGTCACAGAATACATGGCAGCAAGGATAGCATCATAGTCAAGATCAAAGATGGCAGCCTCCGCCCTAGACAGATCTCCCCAGCGAGGGATCTCTGACGCCTCAAGGAATTGGCGACACCACGCGTTCGTCAGGCGACCGAAGCAGCGCTGGGTGGAGTGCGGGCCCGCGCACTGCTTACCAGCTCGGTCGCCGGTACGGAGGACGTAAGTACAGGGACCAGTACCCCCACCACGCTGACGCGCAGTGTACCACTCACGAAGCTGCTGAGGGGATAGGGTCACACCACTCCGCTGTTGCTGGCGCGGACCACCACCTGAGCCACTCCTCTGCGCAGACTCGCAACCTGCTCCACCACCGCCGCCGCCGCCGCCTCCGCCGCCTCCTCCACCTCCGCCTCCTCCGCCACCTTCGCCGCCTCCGCTCCCTCCGCCACCACCGCCGCCTCCTCCGCCTCCACTGCTGCCGCTGCCTCCGCCACCCCCGCCACCACTCCCTTCACCACCCCCACCCCCTCCACTACCTCCACCACCACCTCCACCGCCCCCGCCAACCCCTCCAGCGCCCTTGCCCCCCTTGCCCTTGCCGGTGCGGCGTCTCCCGCTTGGGGCAGACGCAGCGCCGACTGACTCGAAACCAACGAGGTCGGCCGCAGCAGTAGAGGCAAGAGAGGGCAAGAGGGGGGAGGGGGAACACCCCTCAAAGACGGGGGTGCGAGGGTCACCACGAGAGGCTCCTATAGCAACTATGCTCTTCTCTGCTGCTAGGAGGGCCTTCTCGAGGAGGTCAACGGTGAGAGTGGTGGGGCAAACTGAGAGGAAGTGGTCCCTGACTACGCGGAGAGAGTCAAGGAGCCGGGTGACTATGTAGTAGAGGGTGATGTACATGGGGGGTGGGGTTCTTGGCGCAAAACTTAGCAGGAACCGCAGCGCGGCAGCGAGTGTCACTAGTGCGGAGGTGCGTAATGAGGTCATCGACTGTGGGAAAGGCAGCAAGGTCAGGGAAGAGGTACGGTAGCATGAGGCGGCTCAGTGCAGCAGTGGCAGGGGAAGAGTAGCGTGCAACTACAACATCGTACAAGGTCTGAGCAGTCATGTACTGGCTAAAGTGTGCACGCTCAGTGGTCGGTAAGTGGCGACGCACACCAAGGTGAGCAGCAGCATTGCGTGTGGCCCACTGTGAGCAAACAGTACTGTTAGCAGTAGCATGCAGGGAAGGAGAGGCACCAGAGGTGAGATCGAATAGAGAGAGTCCGTCTGCCCTATCGCACTGGAGAAACAGCTGGAGGTCATCGACCCAGACCTCAAAGTCAACGGCACGGCCCTCAGCATCAAAAGTAAGGACACTGGGGGTAGCCATGACTGCAGTGGCCTAGTTGGGAGTGAGCTCACCAGTCCGAGGAAGGAGGGCCGCGGAGCACCGGTAGGAACAGCAGCGGCTCGACAGTAGGGCGGATCAGTGGCTCGGTGGCTCGGCGGCAGGGCGGCTCGGCTGTTGGGCGGCTCGGCTGCTGGGCGGCTCCGCGGCACGGCGGCTCGGCTGCTAGGCGGCTCGGCTGCTTGGCGGCTTGGCTGCTGGGCGGCTCGGCTGCTCGGCGACTCGGCTGCTGGGCGGCTTGGCTGCTGGGCGGCTCGGCTGCTCAGCAGGTGGGCGGCTCAGCTGCTGGGCTGCTCGGCGGCTCGATCGCTGGGCGGCTGAGCGGTGATAGGGCCGCTAGGGGAGGGCGACGGGGCCGCAGGTGACGGCGACAGGGCCGCAGGTGGCGGCGGGGCCGCAGGTGGCGGCGGCGTGGCCGCAGGTGGCGGCGACGGGGCCGCAGGTGGTGGCGACGGGGCCGCAGGTGGCGGCGACGGGGCCGCAGGTGGTGGCGACGGGTCCGCAAGGGGCCTGGACGGGGCCGCGGAGGGGCCGTAAGGGGCCTAGACGGGGCTGTAGAGGGGTCGCATGGGGCCTAGACGGGGCCGAAGAGGGGCCGCAAGAGGCCTAAACGGGGCGGCGACGGGGCCGTAAGGGGCCGGAAAGGGCGCCACGAGGGGCAGAAAGGGGCCGCGCGAGGGGCGTAAGGGCGAAGTGAGGTGCCTTAAGGGGCTGTAAGGGCGGCGCGAGGGGCCATAGAGGGTGGCGCGAGGGGCCGTAAGGGCGGCGTGAGGGGCCGTAAGGGCGGCCAAAGGGGCCGTGAGAGGGGCCACTAAGGGCGGCTCGAAGGTAGGGAGGGCACACAGAGCGCGACTCGGGCAGGAGTGAAGCGCGCTCCGGGCAGGAAAAAAAAGATATCGTGGTGGGCCCTAGGTAGCGTTCCCACTAGGGAACCTGCTCGATACCATGATAAGAAACGAGAATGAATGCATTGAGCAGAATGAGGAGTACGAGCAGTAAACCCTAAAGTGTTGTACCCCATATGAACTGCCCCAGTTCAGCCTACACAGACTATAGCATATATGCCTGACAGTATCGAGTAAGTTGTTTTTCCTTGCTGTAGCGCTGTATTTGTCAAGTCAAAGGTCACTGACCTTTGACCTTCGCGTAACCTCGAGCAGTTACTTCTCTTGTCAACCTCCGATAGTTGACTCGCCGTTGCTTCATTGTAGTTTGCTTTGCTTGCAGTTCAGTGTTTCCACACATCAAAAGCGCTTAAGTCACTTGTTTCAAACAACCCTAATGACAAAGAGTAGTGTCAGGTACCACCCTGCCGCGATTAGCGGCGTTTTCCCTCAGTCACAAGAGTTGCGCGTCGTGAAGACTATTGGGCTGAGAAAAGCCCTTAAGATCTTTTCAAGGCTAAACTCTAAGTAGAAGTGTTGTATTTGCGGAAGCGTTTTAAGGACAAGTGTTGAACCACCTTGCGCTAGTAAGTAAGGGCAAGATAGATTGATTAAAGCAAGAAGATACAAGGTTTTATAAGAGTACAAGGAATATGAAAGGATGCAGCTAATAACTGTTTTACTGTTGCTGTTGCGGTTCGATACAGTGACGAATCGGGCAACTGCTCAATAGCAAGTCAGTTGTTTGTCCTTGCTGTCGCGCTGTATTTGTCAAGTCAAGGTCGCTGACCTTTGACTTTCGCGTAACCTCCAGCGGTTACTTCTCTTGTCAACCTCCTCGGTTGGCTCGCCGTTGCTTCGTTGCTATTTGCTTCGTTTATAGTTCGATGTTCCGACACATGAGAAGTGTTAAGTTACTTGTTTCCAACACTCCCCTTTGCTTCTGGAGTGTCGCTGCTGGTGACGTGGCTTTGTCCAGTCAGCAGCATGCAATACTCGAACTTCTGCTTTCTGAGCTTCTTGGTCAAGTAATCAGCTGCCATCTCGGACGTGCGGCAGTAGGATAGCTCGATTCTCCCCTTCTGGATCTCGTCTTTCACGAAGAAGTATCGCAGGGCGATATGTTTCGTCCGGTTTGCGAACCCGTTCTTGTTCGGTATGCGGATTGCAGATTGGTTGTCGCAGAACAGAGTGAAGCTGGGTAACTGGGCCAACTTCACTTCTTCCAACAGTCCACGAAGGTACAGGCCTTCCTTGGTGGCTGAGCAGAGTGCACTATATAATGCTTCAGCTGAGGAGAGAGCAATTAGTTCTTGCTTGCTCGACTGCCACGCGATAGGCCCGATAGGTTCGAGTCGATAGATATAGCCGGTGCGCGAGCGCCTGTTGTCTGCGTCGCCGGCGTGGTCGGTCGATTAGCTCAGGTGTCGAGGTTCCGTTTTTGTGGTAGGTCACGCTGATTGTCGGAGTGCTGACGAGATAGTGGAGTGCGTGGTCGGGTTTCGCCATGTGCTCAGCATCAGGTTTCTTAAGGTAGGTGGTGAGCTGGCTTGCTGAGTATGATAGGTCTGGCCGGTAGGTGACGGCTGCGAATAGTAGGCATCCTAGTTTTTGGTAATAGTCACGTATACCGGCGGGCTTGAGTGAAGCAGAGGTTCCTTCGTGACTTGCGGAGGTGTAGCAGTACGGTGTGGAGATAGTAGTTGGAGTTAATCCGAAGCGTTTGGCAATGGTGTCAGCGTATTTAGCGGCGCTAAGGTGGATCGTGTTCTCGCCATCCCGTATGTTGAGTCCTAGGTACTGTGTCACGGTTGATGAGACGGTAAGAGTTAAGTCCCGCTGCAGCTCCCCTTCGAACCAGGTTGTGACGCCGTCAGTCGAGCCGATGTAGAGTAGATCGTCCACGTAGACGATGAGCAGGATGTAGTCGGCTCCTTTTGTGAGGCGGTACGTCCCTTGATCGTGCGGTAGTTGCCTGAATCCAATGTGAATTGGTCGGGCGTGTAGATGCTGTTGCCACAGCCTTGGGGCCTGTTTGATGCCGTACAGGGACTTCAGTAGCTCACAGACTTGGTTGGGGTCTGCGTTAGAGCCGTGCGGTTGCTCGACGAAGATTTCAGCGTGGTTGCCACCGTGGTTGCTGCACGAAAGGATACGACAGGGGAAGTACTCTCCAGACGCATGTGTGGGGATTACCGCGATCTGAACAAGATCACGAAAGCGAACAGGTATCCCATGCCCACACCAGAGGAGATATTTGACAACTTGGTGGGAGCAGCAGTGTTCAGTACACTGGGTCTGAGGCACGGCTTCAACTAGATCCAGATCAGGGAAGAGGACAGGGCCAAGACCGCCTTCCACGGAGTGGACGGACTCTGGGAGTGGAATGGGATGCCGTTCGGGATGCGTAACTCTTCTGCCTTCTTCCAGCAAGTAATGGATACAGTGTTGAGGGGCATCGACTATGCAGCCTGCTACATCGACGACGTCGTCATCTTTAGCAGAGATAGCGGGACCCATGTGGCAAATGTGGAAAGGGTGCTGGGGGCAATCATGAACGCGGGACTGACTGTCAGAGGTCCACTGGTGATCCCCGATTGATCATAGGAAAGGGTTACAGGCATGTTGGCCTGGGGGGTTATGGGCGCACTGACCCGCTACTTAACAAGCCCATTTATCCCAATGGTCTAGTGGTTGGGATCCTGACATGGTATCAGAGCAAAGGTCACGGGTTCGAATCCCAGTGTGTGCACTTCGGGCATCCCAGCACGGGGGGTGTTAGAGGTCCACTGGTGATCCTCGATTGATCTTAGGAAAGGGTTACAGGCATGTTGGCCTGGGGGGTTATGGGCGCACTGACCCGCTACTTAACAAGCCCTTTTATCCCAATGGTCTAGTGGTTGGGATTCTGACACTGACCTGCCACCCGAGCAAGTGCAGATTCAGGGAGAGCACGGTGAAGTATCTGGGGCTCGAAGTATCGGACGGGACCCTTTTCATCTAAGAGGCGAATGTGGCAGTGCTGGACAAAGTAGCGGTGTCGGCAAACCGGAGCACGTTGCGGGCAATGCTAGGGTTCTTGAACTACTATACGAAATTCGTGCCAAACTTCAGCAAAAGGGCCAGCACGCTGAACCAGCTCATGAAGCAAAGTAGCACGTGGAAGTGGGGCGAGCAGGAAGACGCAGTGCTGAAAGACCTGCTCAGGGCGGTCAAGACGGGGAGAGTACTCGTCCTGCCGAGGAGAGACCAGCCCTTTGTGCTCTATACAGACAGGAGCAGCCTGGGCATGGGGACCGTGTTGTGCCAAGAAACGGACCGGGGGGAGAGGGTTGTGGCATTCGCCAGCAGGAGGTGCACACCCACCGAAGCTAACTACAACTCCTACAAAGGCAAACGATTGGCAGCAGTGTGGGTAGTTGACCACTTTTAAGTGTACCTACAGGGCTCTCAAGGAGCCCACCCCGCCAAAAGAAGGCTCGCCTGCAGTCTGCCTCGTGGCACTAGCCAGCGGGATTCCAGAGACAAAGGCAGCGAAGCACCGAGAAAAGGGGCCGGAAGAGGTCTGGGAGGACGCGGCCGTATTGTGGTGGTTGAAAGGGGAAATTGAGGCAGAAGAGGACATAGGAGAGAGGGCGCGGGCGTGAGGCAGGCACTACCAATGGTATCAGCAACAGCTGGAGGTGAACTCCAAAGACGGTTGGAGGCTGGTGCCGGCACCAGAGTAGAGGAGAGCCCTTATAGAGAAGGTACACACAGCCAGCTGGGATACTACAGCCATGTGAGGACGACGGAACTACTAACAACAGAGTGATGGTGGGCAGGGCTATAGAGGGATGTGAAAAAGGTGGTGGTCGACTGCGAGCTTTGCAGCCGAAACAAGGCCACCCTAGAAAGAGAATAGCAGGAGCTCCAGTCGTTACCTATTCACGGGCTGGGGTACCGGTGGTCACCGGACCTGGCGGGGGAGCTGCCATTGAGCCGCAAGAACATGCGATACATACTGGTGATGATCAAGCATGTCTCCAAGTGGGTGAAAGTGAGGGCTCTGAGCTGCAAAAGTGCGGAGCTGATCGCCGAAGCTTTCATTGATTAGGT